TCATGATTGATTTACATTACTCCAATGTCGTCCCTAAAAACAATATTTTAATAATTTATATAAGTCATTTAAATGGAGATGAGAGTATGTGAGTTAAGAAATGGATGTAACTGATATAAACAGACAGCCATAAATACTGAATTTGGAAGAGTCCAGGTAGTTTACTTTCATTATACGCTTTTCATAACTATTTCTAACACAGAATTATGCATGTATATAACACAAACGTGTATTCTTATGTATGACATAATCTCTTCTTCTAACACATTCTATGATGGATTTTTTCTTGTGATTTATCACTCATTGAATACGTCCAAACTGCTGGACTACAAAATTCATTAATCAAAAGAATAGAAGAAATTTGTCATAGCAATGTAAATAAATCAGAAACATATTTGAATCAACTTGCTGAGCTTCACTTTCCTACACACGATATGTACAAATTTGAAGATGTTTTTGTGTTTTATATAATAAAAAGATAATTTTGCAGGATAACTGTCTCATGATATGGCTGTTAATTTTTAATTCTTACTATTTGTCTTACATGTTTGCCTTGTGTACTATATACATAGCTCTTTGGATAACAGTTTGGGATTGTTACTAGGAAATTTATATTATTTTCTAAACATATTCACAAATGCAACATGACTATTTTTGAGATTTGTTTTAGGAATTGTATAATTTTAAGTATGTTTGTGCATTTTTATATTTAGTTATATAACACCTATCTACATCAATATAAACTAGTACTAATAATTATTGCATTTTCTGTTGCACATTTTCAAACCCCTTAAACTGGTTGTTGGATATAAAGACTGACCCAACCTAGGCACGAATATATGAATTTCTTTTTTTATTATTATTATTGATATTTAAATTAAGTCTTCTTACACTACCATGTATAAAATTAATTACCTTTCCATGATATTGTATTTAATACAAGAATTGAATTTTAAATTTAATTTATATCTTATATTCAATTTTTACAAATATCTCTATTGTGTATTGTATACTATATATATATATATATATATATATATATATATATATATATATATATATATATATATATATATATATATATATAATGATAGTATCACAAATGATGATTGCCCAGGATTTGTTCTTTGTTTCACATAACAGGATTTTTTCATGCACATTGTTATTTTTTTGTATATGTACCAATTTTAAAAATAAATATTATTTATGAAAAATACCTTTTTTTAATTTTCACTTCCTATCGTTACAATTTACTTCACTTCCTCACAATTACATATCCTTTAAGAATTACTGACTTCTACATTACCTTGGGCATTCATTTTTATGTCAAATACATTTTATTTAGTACATAACCGTGTCCACCGTATTGAAAATTTACTAAAAAATGTAATTTCAAATAGCCCGGTTCACGTCGGTCCTCCATTTCAATTGGTTTACTGCCTATTTAAGGCTGCCTCTTTCTCCTCATTCGTTGTTTCTGTTGGGGTGGGAGATTCGAATTTCTCCCCTCCACGAAAAGAAGAGCTTTCCGTTTAACATTGAGTGCCGTCTCTGATATATACTCTCAGCAGTTTCAGACCAAAGTAAAGACTTTAAAATAACAGTAAAGCAAAGTATGTACATTGTGGAAATAAACATCATGTGTGTTATTGGAGATGCTCTGTAGCAAAATAATTGCAGAGATGAAGAAGAAGAACCCGAAAAGGCGATTGTCCCAGACATCTAATAAAACTGGGGGGGAAAATAATGAAGAAAAACAAAAAAATCTGAAGATGATAACAAACAAGAGATAAAAACGTATGCACAAGTAACTACAGACTCTGAGAAACTCATAAAAGAACAACGGTATGATATTATTAATAAAACATTGCAAGTCATATTAGCAAAGCTCAATAACCAAGAAACCATGATCCTTACCTTGGAGGAGAGACTTAAGAATCTAAAGTACAGCACTAAAGGAGCAATACAGCAGCAAAGAAGAACTGTCAAATTGATGTTCATAGGGTTGAAAATGAAAGATCTTGGATAAATTATATTATAACAGAAGATTTTGATTGCATTTATAAAGGAGTTAGAACTAAATTGCTTAGTTTTGCTTATCAAGCATTTCATTGGGCGAAATACACTAAGAGTTTTTCTATGAAAGTTCATTTGTTCTAAATCATTAAAATTATAGTTGGCAACTTGAAAATTTGCATTTTGAATGATAGAGGGTGATTCTTTTGTTGTTAATAATGATAACTTGAATTATAGAGTTTAGTGTATGATATATATATAAATGGTGGACAAATGTTTGCAGTGTAAGTGGTTCTCGAAAGCAGTTATATTTATCGAGTAATACTGGTGTTGGAAAATCTACTTTAATTGAAAACTTGTGTTTAAGTGGTAATGAAGAAAGAGTATTTTATCCTGGTGAGGGAAACATTCTTTTGTCAGGTTTGAGAAATGATGTTCATAAAATTGTTTTGTTAGAATATTTTTGTTCTCGTAATTATACATCTGAAATTGACATTCTTAAGCGATTATTGGAAAGTAAAATGTTTTGTGTTAATGTTTAATTTTAAGGGGGTTATTGTTTAAAATTTGAAGGTGTAGTAATTTTTGTTTCTAATTATGAACCTTTTGCATTTACAGGTGATATTAGCTGAAGAAAGTTTTGTGCCACTTCATGATGGCGTTTTACCGATGTCGTTATAGGAGACCTTTTTTAAAGATATTATAGAATGAGATACTATAGATATAATCGTAGACATGTAAGTATCCAGGTTTAACGTGGTAGTAGTTTGATAGTTAAAGAAACTGGTAGACAAGAAGTAGAGTTGTTTGCTCATTTTGGAAACAAGCAGGGTACTCCTACATGTGCTACGTTTAAACTTATTGATTTTCTGTCATATACAGATAAGAATGGTGTATTTGTTCATAAGGATTAGTTTGAACGTGTGTTAATGAAAAATATTTAAAATTATTTTAGTGAATTTTGTTGTGGTTCATGCTGTGTATATGCTCGTACTAAACCTAATGATGTAAGGATGTGTGAATCTTGTGTGAAAGAAGGTGAAATATGTGAGAAGTGTTGTGATTATGTGAGCAACATTAGTGTGTCTGGGAAAGGAAGGAATGTTAATGTTCAATTTAATATGTATGATGTGTATGTGGATAGTTTACCGTTTAAACTTGATTCAACCAGGAAAATTGTATTTCATTCGTCATCTTGCACTTCTCCTGGTTTTGAAATATCTAATGCTAATCCTGATGCTAAATACAAAACAGAAGAAATTCACGCTATGGTATTCGTTAAAACCAAGAATTATCCCTTTCGAATATAGTACAATATTTTATCTTTGAAAATATTGATTAAAGAAGCATGACTATCTAAATTTCCTTAGCCAATTGGGAGACTGATTTATTGTAGGTGGATATTTAATTGCTAAAAATACCTTTTAGGGTTCTAGATTAACAACAAAAGGTAAACAATTATTAAGTGCCATAAAGTAATTGGTGGAGAAGCTCTGTCAACTGGTAAAACTATGTACTGGCCAACTGACCCAGATAAAATATCAGATCTAATAACTTCTTTTAATAAAAAATGTACTTCTAAATATCTGCAAAACGAAGAATGTCACCACTTAAGTTCAGATCACTCTCCAATTATTCTAACTGTATGTGACTATTGGATTCACAAACAAACCAAACCAGTATTAGTGAATAATCATATGAACTGGGAATGTTTTAATCAATGTTTAGAAGAAAAAATTAATCTTAAAGACTAATGAAGAATTAGATAACAAGCTGGAAACAAAAGATATCAGCGATCAGCTGGGAGAAGTACTCCAGAATTCAAAATAATAATAAAAGGAAACAATTACTCAGAAGAAATTAGGAACTTTATTATTGAAGCTGAGCAGATGCTCAGCAAAGCTATCTGCTTTTAGTACGTTGCTTCAAGTCCATTTGCCATTTTTTGTCCTAATTAGAGGCACTTGAATGATAGGTCTTGTTACTTTTCTTGATGCCTTCCAGATGGAATTATCAGAGCTTTTTTCAAGCACCAATTGCTTTCAGTACATTGTCTTACATTCATTTTAAAAATATTTTATCTTTCTTCTAAGTTGTTGAGTGAAATTATAGAATTTGGTTTTATGGTATGGTGCTCTTATTTGTAGCCAATGATTTTTCATTTTCCTCTTTTCAATAATAAGGTTCCTAATTTCTTCTGGGTAAATGTTCATTATAATTATTCATTTGAGTTCTGGAGTACTTCTCCAAGCTGACTGCTGAATATCTTTTGTAAAAGTTTCCAGCTCATTATCTAGTTTTTCATTGATCTTTAATGTAACATGGAGATTAATTTTTTCCCTAAATATTGATTAAAACATTCCCATTCTCAGAAGAAATATTCCAACCTCATGAAGAGAAAGAAAATTAAACAGAAATTAATGAATTATTAATGAAAATAATTAATTAAATAATAAATAATTAATGAAAACCAAAGTAATCAGAAAGATTACAAAAGTATTGCCCCTGGTACAATATATGAAGCATAAAAAGAAATACAAAATCTGAAACAAAAAAGCTCCAGAATTAGATTTAATAAGAAGTTCTAAGGAAACAGCTGAGGAAGGGTATAATAAAATTGACATATCTTATCAATGCTGCATTTAGATTGAGATAAGTACCCAGAATTTGGAAAGTGACAGAAACTATAATGATATGCAAACCAGGAAAACCACCACATGAGGCTACATCATACAGACCGTTACTGATTTTGGCTAAACTTTTTAAAAAAATGTTTGCTCAAAAGAATGAAACAAATTATTGAGGACAAAAAGTTAATATTAGACCATCAGTTCGGATTCAGAACAAAACACTCCATAATAGATCAAGTGCACAGATTATGCAGCGTCATTGAAAAATCATTTGAAGGGAAAAAGATTTGTTCTGCAATCTTAGACATAGCACAGGCCTTTGACTAAGTCTGGCACAAGGGTTTAAACTATAAGTTGAAGACTATTCTTCCCAGATAATATTAAGATCTTCTAGAATCTTACTTAACAGGTACTTCGGAGTTCAACAAGATGACACCTACACAGGACTCAAAAAAATTAAGGCAGGAGTACTGCAAAATGTGGGGCCAATACTATACCTACTGTTTACCAGAAACCTTCCCAAACCAAAAAAGTGTCATAGGAACATATGTCAATGACACTGCACTTTTAGGAGTAGGAAAAAGCAATGAAGAAGCAACCCAAAGGCTACAATCAGCAATCATACGTGTACAAAATGGATCAATGATTGGAATATCAAATTAATTGAAAGTAAAAGTGTTCATATGACCCACACAAATGAAAAAATGCAAAGGTTTGCAATAAATCACGAAGGAAGGCTGCACCAACACAATAATCCCAAAGCAATTTTTCTCCTGGACATCACAGACCTACTGAAAAATTACATCACAGTGAGGTAACAAAGTGCTTTAAGAACTAAGAAAAATAACAGTGTAAATACTAGTGTATCTACAAACACAAGAAAGTGTGTTTTTAAATTCAATTTGAAACTAAGAGGGTGCTAATGGGCTAGCTCTTAGAACAAATTTTATTTCATAGTAGTTTAGGTCAAAAGAAAATTGCCTAGTCTATAAGACTAGATTGTAATGTTTATGAAAATAAAAAAAAAAAAGCATCAATTGAATTTTAAAAAGTCTATTGTGTTTAATGATCTACATCACTAACTACTCTACCTTTTCTTTCTTCCTCTATTTTAAACTTTTGAACAAAAAATTTTGCCAGAATATCTCGTTTTAAGAACTTGTAAATAAGAGAAATAACACATTTATCAGATGTTCTAAAACAAAAATGCTTCTGGATTTGATACATTACTCAAAAAGGTGGATAAACAATTCAATATTATGATAGTTACTTTAAAAAAAGTATTTTGTGCCTCTGTCTTTTTTGTTGAGGGTTTTGCTCTATTACATTAGAAATACTGACAAACTCTGAACAGCCATTGTGTTTGTGTTCTTGTGTGCAAAATGTTCATGTTTATTAACCATTCATTTACTGAAATTAGACATTCCAGAACTTTCAGTTTCAGTGATTTTTGTGTCAAATCACTGCAAGACTAAAGTTTCAGCACCCTTCTCTCGATGAACAACTCCAGAATTTCTTCTGGCTTCCTCGTGGCACCGTTTCTTACACTCAAGTAATCTGTAAATAATAACTTCATTAGATCTCTATCCTAATAAAAAATATACATTTCTGTCTTGCAAATATAAATGTAATTCTTCATACTTTTAAAAATGTTATGACAAGAACGTAAGATGAGAAAAATATACAAAAATTTATCTCTCTTCATTTTTATGGTGAATAGTACAATTCTATTAAAAAAAGGAAAACTGTTGGAGAAAGAATATTGAATGTTTACTTATGTACGATGATGTTTCAAAACTTGTAATATCAAGTTAATAAAAGCAATTAAGTTATTGTTGTTGTTCTTATTATTATTATTGACCTATCTTCCCTTGGTTTTTAAGAAAGAAGGAGAATGGGACAAGGAAAGAAAGGAAGAGAAAAGGACAATACTCACGCTTCTAAATCAGTCCAAAGTTTCATCTGTCGAGCACGATTATTTTGATTTTCTTTTACCAATCGTTGATCATCTTTCAGTTGTCGACTCAGTTTCTCTTGCTCATTAATACAGTTCATCAACTGCTCCCTGTTTTGTAAACAATATTTTATTACTTCAGTAGCTTTTTGAGTATGTTCAGAAATTGTTTTGTTGTGACATACCTGAGTGACTTATTTTTGTCAGAATGACTACCACTGACATAGTTTCGCAATTCATCTGAAAGACGATCAATGTTCACTTGTGTTATTATGATTTCAGCTTGTAAATGATGATACTTGGACTCATTAGACAAAACTTCTTCACGGAGATTTCGAACTACCTGTATAAAAGAAAAAAATCATAGAAACTTGTAGTGTATGATTATTTTAATACATATAATACAGTGACTTCATTCTACCTGCTCCAATTTCGAGGTAGTACTTTCTAGACCAGCAGCAGTGGAATCATAAGTTTGTTTCTTTCTCTCATACTCTTCTGTTACTTCTTGACACTTTTCTCTGAGAGGTCTTAATTCTATAACACAATAAATTTTACATCATAACTACTAACTTGGAATATACACTTTCTTTTCGTGCACAGAATTATTTTATTTGTGTTCACCTGTGATATTATAACTAAGCTGCGGATTTTTGCCTTTACCTATTTTTTCCTTCAATGGAAAATGCAATCGTATGTGCTACTTATTCATTTTGAAGTATTAGGAGCAATATATGTGAGTTTTTCAGTGCCTATAAAAATGCCTATTTTGTGTTTAAATGCCTAAATGTTGCCTATTCTCATATTTTTATCAAAATGCAATTATCCTTAACAAAAAATTTAAAAAATTGTTTTTATCCTCCAGAGTACAGAGAAATTGAACAACTATTAAGAAATCTATGTTCTGTTTTCTGCCACTACATCACAAGTATTTCATATTATGAAATAAGTACAAAATCAGTGGTGGTAGTGGAGTTATTTTTTACTTTGAATTTTAAAAAAAAATTCCTCTAAAACCACTCCAAATTTTCTCCTTGTATATATCAAACGGTGGCATAAAAAATGGTGCTGGTCCCATTTTTTTGCGAACTCTCTGTATTTTCAAAAACTGCAAAAGTTAACATCACAAAAGTACAATATTGAATACAGTGATTTTTGTTTTAAATGACTCACACGTTTTTTATACTGATTTTTTAGAACAGATTTCGGAGATACAAGTGATCTGCTGATTATGAGCGGTGTGCGATATTCACTTGATTTCAGACACCCCCTCCACTTAGTGCTACCATCCTAATAGAAACAAGAGGGCAAGAAGGGTCATAGGAATTGACACACATGAAATAAACAACATAGACAAGATGAATTTGCAAGTTGATTGCAGAAATGGCACACAATTCATGAATTTGTTTCTCTTAATCTTCTCTAATCCTCTTTCATTTCTCTTCTCTCAATAACTAAGCAGTCTTTTTTTGCATATTTCTGTTTGAAACCAATTTAAATTAGAAAAATAATTTTCAAAAACCGCTACATTTTTTTCTACAAATAGAACAAGAGACATTTGAAAGATTCTCTCATTTTCTTTGATCACTCAAAATTCCTGAAAATTGCAATTTTTTTAAAGGAAATAATGTGAGAAAGTACTTGTTGAAGTAGCACCATTCGTTACATTTGTGTTATGCATGGCGGTTGAAAAAATCATCCATTTTCAATTATGTTTATAGTAAAGGTGAGAAAAATATATGTACAGCATTTACGTATCAGCTTGCATTTAACTAAAAGCTAAAAGTTAGCTATTGCGATTCAGCCTTTTTTGTTGGAATTTCTGTGACAATGATAGAAAAGATTTCTAAGAGGATTTGTCAGAATAATGAGGAAAGTATACATTACAGGAATGTACCTATATTGTTACCTTTAAGAGCTTGCTAAACAAACAAGTACATAAAATATTAGTGCCAATTTCAATGCCCATTTTACATTTTTTAATGCCTATTTTACGATTTAATGGCCTATTTTGCCTCCAATTTCCAGTTTTTTCTGCCTATAAATCCACAGATTAATTATAACAAAGCAAGATTACTAGTTCTTTCATTGATTCATAGAATACATTTTCATAAACTAGTACATCAAAAATACTTAAGATCTGTTCTTCACTTCAGTCTTCCAATGCTTGTGAATGTGTAACAAACAGATTCATGAACATGCTATGAAATTCTGAACAATAAAGTTTTATTTGGCTAGAAGTATTGAAAAAAATTGATTATTTCGTAAAATGGAACTACTAGAATAGTAGGACCATTTTGAAATTTTTTTTTTTTTTAATTCTTACACACCCATTGCTTTTATTGACTTCTTACAACATCCATCAAAAATAATTTCAAAACTTAATTGAACCTTTTGCAGGGAGCAATAAAGAGAGGTATTCTAACTGAAGAAAATATCACACAAAAAATTGAACATTTTGTGAAGTGGAACTACTAAAATAATAGGGCCATTTTGAAATTAACATTATTTAAATTCTTTCACACACACACACACACACACACACATTGCTTTTATTGACTTTACAGAACATCCATCACAAATTCACAAACTTTATTGCATCTTTTGCAGGGAGCACTGAAGAGTAAGCATTTTAACTGAAGAGAATATTACAGGTAGAACAAATAGTGTTTTAGATATAGGAAATGCCGGTTGCTGTAAAACATTCACTAGAAAGAAGAATAATAGTAGTTCCTACTGATAATTCTTTAAGCTCGCACACTGCCCATTGTGTATATTTCAAGAACGTTCATTCCCACCTGAGAGGTAGCATAATATTCTGGGTAAATACATCTTATAGCTCCCAGACTTTTCGATTACAAAAATGAATTGTACGAATTGTAATAAGCAAATCCCAACCACGTGATTTTTGTAAGCCTCTCTTTATTCATCTAGGTATTTTACCATTACCTTGTCTCTTCATATATGAATCAGTAGGTTTTGTCAAAAATGACTTACTTAAGGGCGGGAATATATTTTCATCAAACGCCATGGTCTATAACTACAACACTCGACGTAGTAATCATATTCATCAGGTGACAGTATTGACAGCTCACTACAAAAAAATCACATATAATACATGTACATTATTTTACAGCACCTTGCCAGATGACATTAAACGATTCAATTCGACACAAAAATTTAAGTCTCAAGTATAATCTTTTCTGCTGCACAACTGTTTCTATACAATTAGAGACAATACTGAGCATCCAAAAGGAAAGTAATATTAATTTGGATTGTATAATTGTAAAGAACCTATAACGAGCATTGTACTTCATCTTCTGGGTCAATGACCCCCATCTCGATCAGGTTTTTGTACAGTTTCTCTGATCCTCAAGCAAATGCTGAGATGGCCCCTTTTTTTTGCTTCTGGACATAATTGTAACTTCAAATTAACTTCTCCCCGTAGCACATCACACATAATTTTTAACTGTTTTTGGTGTAAATTAAAAAAAAAAAAAAAAAGGCTGTAATTCAGATACTCTGTAATAGACTCTGGAACCTTTATTGTGATTGTGATTGTGAAATGCGCTGCCCTGCCCGACCACAGCACGCACTTCTGGGTGAAGGGTGTATTTTCTTTCCAAACACGCGCTCACTGACAGTGATACAGTATAATCTGCCTAAATCGGAACCTGTACAAGCTAGAAACCTGCCTTAATAGGAAAATTCCTCCAACTTATGAAGTTATATGGCAATTTACACAGCACAAAATGGAAACCTGTTCAATGCGGAAACGGAACAGTTCTTAATGTCCTTCACAAAACACATTGTGGGCCGTCAAAACATGCAAAAGAGTTTCAGTGTGCACACATTTTCGCACAGGTTCAGTTAGTTTGATATAAATTTTAAAATATTTATTACACTATTCTATTTTAAATGCTGAAAGTCCGTGGTTTTGTGACCTTATTTTTTTATTAGATGGTCTGAAATAGCAGTGAAAACACTTTGTACATTACTGTTAATGCACGTTAAGTTAGGAGGAGATTTGAAATTGTAGATAAAGAGATAAGTGTTACTATACAGTATGTACACGGTATATACAGTCAAACCTGGGTGTGTGAGAACTGGATAAGGGAGGAAACTCTACAGGTGAGAGTGATTGGCAGATCACATTATTTTAACCCTCTAAAACCTCTATATGTGAGAAACAAAAACCTCTATAAGAGAAGGTAGTTTTTCCCTGGGACCTATAATTGAGACTGCTACTTGTCTGTACCTCAATAAGCGACTGTTGAGCATACATAACATATGCTATTTAAGAACCATTCTTAAAGTTTGAGAAACATCATATACGTGTTCTTAAATTTTGTGAAACTGTTGAACTTTGTCTATGTTGAACTTTATTTTGTATCATATTCTATTCGAATGGCCACATGTACATGTGTACTGACATATTGTCTAACTATCTACAGTTGATCAATGGTGAAGAAAGGTTCGGCACTTACTAAAAACAGTTGATAAGCATCAATTGGGAAAAAAGGTTCAGCATTTATTCAAAATGTTAAAAAGAAAAATCAAAGACTTGTCTTTAAGTAATTATTAGTGCAAGATTTTTTGATTTTCTTATTTGTAAGCATCTATGTCAAATTTTAATGAATATATCATAAATTCATACATATTTATCGCTATATAGTTGCTGCACCTGTGTATGCAAAAAAATTGATTTAGTGATAAATCTCATTAAGCAAAAAAGAAATTGCAGCCCCTTGAACTGTTACTTATCCAGGTTCGACTGTATATGTCATTATACCTTGAATCAATGTTTTTAAAACTACTGAACCTTTCAAGATAGGAGCCAGTTGTGCTTTCTTGCTTGCTATTCGCTGAGACAATTCCAGAACCAATGCAGACATTTCTTCCAGTGTCTTGCCTTTCTCTTGATCTACACTGGCCTTCTCTTCGGAAACTTGTTCAATGCGCTCCTCTGTATCACGGTATCCAGCTACTCCATGTTGAACTTCGCGAACAGCCTAAGCAAAGCACTTACTACAAAAATGGATTTACGACACAAGACAAGTGAGTGAAGAAACTACTTCATTGTTACAACAAACATTTGAACAAAATAATTATACTCTCATAGATGTACTTAAAAATTCTCAAAAAAATATGCAGGTCATCTAATGTGCACCATAGTTGTAGATAAGAAATATAACAAAAATATGATAAAAGAGCATATTAAGATCTTCATCATAACCAAAGAAGATAAATTTATGCTAGTTATGCCTCAAAGTTTACCTTTGACCCAGCTCAAAACACTAGTTATTCTATTAAAAGACAGCCATGTCTGATGTATCAGTCAGCCTTGTCACCTGGCATGAAGGCAGGCTTTCCCATGGTGCACACATTATGCTGAATTTACTATTTTTATGGAAAATGGATTTGAATATCATATAAGCTTTTCTTATTTTTACCATATGATTCAGGCATAAGAGACAACGTAAAATTTCAGAACTCAATAATGTCATAAAAATAAAGTTTTTAATGAATTTAAATAAGTGAAACAGAACTTATAAACTAATTTAATAATTTCTAGTTTTTCTTTTGGTTATGCAATTTCATTTGCCATGTTGAACAAATAACTTGAAAAAAAAGTATTGTAGAAGACTTCCTGCGATTCAAGATGATAATGTCGAAGAAAATATGGGCTGAGGTAGTTATTAGACTGAAAAACCATGTTATTAAGAAAAAATATGTTATTTGTTTCACTTAAGCAGAATTATCATTTTGCATTTTTATCAGAAACATGAAATAAGAGAAACTTACAATTACACTACTCAATTTAATGCTATTAAAAATAATGTTTAGTTATTTTGCTTTCTCGCTACAGCTTTCTTGCTATCGCCGGTATAGAGTTACGTTATGCTGCGCGAAAAAACGGCGAATTTTCGGTAGAAAAACTTCTTCAGGGCCCTAGAAATGAAAAAGTGGATTCGCTTGCTAAATTTAGAAGAAGAAAAAACTCTAACACGTGGTCTAGCCAGAATCCATGTTTTCAGGGACCTTGATACTGAAAAAACGTCTGTCTAAACCATTCAGCTGATTTTCTTCAAAATTTATATCCCCCAATAGATCTGGCTGATGTCACGGCTCCTTGAATTTGAAACCAATATCTTAATTTTGGGGGGTACTTTATATGAAGTCTCTGAGATATTTTTAAAGACCTTTTTATTAAATTTTGTAGTTGGATAGCCTTGGATGTTTAAGAGAATGGCGTTGGTCTCATGTTGGATAAAAATCTTTCGAAAATTCGGAAACTTCAAAACATTTTCAACGTCTTCCTATGACTAAAATATTAAAGATAAAGGTTTTCCCTTCAAATGTGTGCTTTTCAAGGGACCGTCTTTTGTCTGGGAAAATTATATAAAAATAATGAGTTTAATGTTTTTAAAATAAGTTGATAATAGGTTTAATAAATTGAATAATACATATATTATTCACTTTTCGTCCCATCTAACAAACATGACCGGTCACTATTAAATACTATCTAATGCTAACAAAACATGGAATTGATTATTCCTCTCACCATTCCTCTCATTCCATTATGATTTTAGTTACATTTACCTATGGTTGAATTGAAGTTATGTGATCTCGAAGAACAAAATTCTATTTAAGATTCTATTAAAAATTCTATTTATTCTGAATATTCCCTTCAGAAAAAAGTTCTGTTCATTTTACTCTTTTCTTGCTAGTGGTATCAACAATGCTAATTGGGAAAATGTGTTTCCCATACGAATTAGCGGTCATTGTTGCTTGTAACTAATTTTTGTTACACCACACTAATAACAGAAAATGATAATGACTGATGCCTTTTCTTTCAAGTTAATATAAAGTAATAATTTTATTTACAACTAAAATATACATCATGCATCGTTGGTGTGTGTATATAGAACGTGAATACAATGACCGAATTCAATGAGAGAAAGTTGTTTTCGTTAAGCCTCTGTTTCGATATATCAGAATTATTTTAATAAATCATTGAAATATGGCATTTAAAAGTCAAGCACATGTGATTATATTCAAATATTATTTTGATTGTGTTTCTTCTTCAAATATAATTCTTTATTGTGTTTCTTATTTTTCTTTAATTCTTCCACTTCTGTTCCAATATTCATTCCAATTCCAGGTCTTGTCTCTAGGTTTAGATGTGTCAGAGAAACCATTTAATAAGAAAAATAAACTTACAAGTCCTTTTAGGAGAGATTCATCCCTAGATTGCAGTAATTCCAAAGTGCGAGTCAATACTCCTGCTTCTGCCTTGAGGGCTGATAGTTCTGCTCTGTGTCTCTTGTAAACTGAGCTTCGTCCACGTAATTTTGTGACATAACGTTTGAACTCTTCACCTCTAAGAACTGTTTCACCAGCAAACTCTTGGAGCCTGTTGCGCTTCTCCTGGAATAAAAGACAATGCTGTTTACAACAAAGATTGAATTTTATCGGATAAAGAAGCTTTCAATTATAAAACACAATTGCATTTCTATGGAAACCACCAGTTCCTACGGCAAATGACTTTTCAACAAAAGCCAATTTCATATTTATTTCATTAAAATTTAATAATGACAATAATTTTATACAAATATTCTTGACAAACGGATGAAATTAGTATTTTTCAGTTCCCTAATTGTTCACTGGAAATTGTTTATTTTAAGGATATGAGGTACATATTGGCAAGATTTAGTATAAAACGTACCTGTAATCAAATAACTTTCTCTAGACTTCCTATTTGGAAAACAATAAAATTTACTCCAATGGCAAAGACTCAAATTGACTGTCACCCAATGTTAGTACCAAACATGACACAAGTCATTTCTCAAGCAGCTCTTGAGAAATTGTGATGCAAATAAACGAAAGACTAATGCTAAATTTAAGAATGAATCCATAGCCCTTTTGAGCTCCAGTATCCCCACCCCATTTTTTCCCACAGCTTTCACTACCCACAGTAGAAAGTACCAACAAAGCGAGGTTAGCAAACATTTGGAAACTAAAATATTTTACTTCCACATAATAGAAAACTTGTTTACTTCTGTAAACAAACTACATATTTGATTTTATAATAAAACTAAAGAAATAATTTTTCAAATAGTCGTTGAAGTGTAAAACAGAAACTGTCATATTATAATATTACAATTGTACCAATTGCTACTTTTCTTTCAGCTTCTCTTAAGAGACTCTGTTAATTCATGATTCTTTCATTGTACAAGGAAGAGACAAAGACAGTTAGGAAGAAATGCCATTGAATCTAAAGCAACATAATGTCTTAGAGATAAGGGTTTTACAAAGTAAACTTGAACAAGCCAAAAGGAAAATAAAATTGTATGTTAAAAATTAGTGTTAACATAATTTAAAGAAAATCTTAATGTCTCTAGAAACATTAAAACAATTACAAATTAAATATTTAAAAGACATGAAATGGTTGAAAACAACCTGCAGTTCTTCGTCTAATGCTGCAACTCTACTCCTCAACTCCCCAAGTTGTTCTGCTGTGCTTTCTTTCTTGCGAGCTATAATTGCTGCTTGCTGTCTAAATGGAGCCAACTTATCATCAGTTGGATTGTTCAAGGCTAAATGACGTTCCACTATTCGATTCACCTCAATATTTACTTGTTGAATCTAAAATATAGGAAGGGAAATAATGAACTTGTCAAATATCTCAGTAGTATTAAATTTACTTATAAATTGGTTAACAGTTGCACTCAAGACAAAAGAACCTTGTTATTCAAAGCATCTATGTCTCCACGGCCAAGAGCAGGTTCAGCTGCCACGTTTTGTAATATTTCTACTTCTTTTCTCCTTGTTTCAATTTCTTTGGGCAATTTTTGCTTTACAATGTAAGTAGCCACATTAGTTTCCTCTTCTAATCTTTGAAGTAATCCTACAAACAATATAATTTTGGATTATAAATTTACAATAATATTGTATTTTAATTTAATTATAGTAAAATGATTTATTTTATTTGTTTATAAGAAATGAAGCTAGATTAAACCCAATCACTGGCTTACATAATACAAATGATTAAATCTAATTAGTAATGGTGGCAACATATCTTATAGCAGAACTATAAATCTTAAAAACAGAATCAGTGAATAAATCAATATTGTTAATGCAATTGGGTGTGAACATGTTAACGTCGATCATTTTATATAATGGAGAATTTACCATACATTTATCTGTAGAACTGAAGTTATTCAAGAGCTTATAAGAGCAAGGAGCATGTCGTGGAACCAAAAGAGATATCTGACTACCTCTGTATAGGCAACTAATAATGTTTTGCAATTATTTAATAAAAGATATAATCATGGTCAGTTTCCTCCTGCCACCCAGGCTCTGAACATTGAATTTAGGTAATAGATATTGTTATTCAATGCCTCTTCATGGATATGCATCAGTTACTTTAAAATTCCAATATTTAAGAAATCATCTTTGACATTTTTCCAAATACTTAATCAATCCCACCCATTATGTTAATTAAAAAATATAGAATCTCTATAAAAATATATGATAAAAAATATCTAATAAGAACCTTATTATTAATTAGTACAAAACTTAATGTTACTGTAATTTGCTAGTAACAATATGTATTTGCAATATGTAAAACAATAAATATATTTTTAAACAAAGTATATCTTCTTCCTTGAGATAAGAGTAAGTTTACCAAAATTTCATACCTTGTGGAGTGGAACCCATAGCAGCTTGTCGCATTTCTTTCAGTTGCTGCTGGAGGCGTTGAATACGATGTTCAGTTTGAGTGAGAGATGTTTGTTGATGTTGCTTCTGTCCAGCTAATTCTTTGGCAAGTTCTCTCTCCAAACGTAATGCATGAGCAGCTTGAAGCATAGCATCTTTGTTTGGCATGCCTTCCACCTAAGAACAAGAAATGCACCTTTATTGCTGGAGAGGTTTAAGATTTCTTTAAAAGTTGCCTTTCTTTAATAAAGAGTAAATTGACATCCTTTGCAAATTTTAATTTAATTTAATTTAATTTAATTTTTTTCTTCTTCTTCTAAATTTACTTGAACTGGGTTTTTCTTTCTTCTTAAAATTACGAATAATGCAGATAGTGAAGCAAATATGTGTTTTAATGCTCCTCAGTAAAGGTAGCAAAGAAAAACATTTTAAAAAATTAATAAAAAATATTTTATGTTTTATTAAATGTATTAACGCTGTAATGGCATTAATAACTTTTCTAGAAAAACAAATAATACATAATTCATTTATGCACAGAATGTTCCAGTTCTGATTCAGGGTTGGATAGGTTTAGCTAGATATACCACAAGAAGAGGAGAAGATGAAACTTCATTGCTTATTTACTCTGTCCTACAAACAAATTGGCAGTAACATTTACTTTGCAATTAAGCTGCATCCCATAAGTCAACTATCAGAAATTAGCTAAAATTTTATTTCAGTGTTTCTACTGATTTTTCATGAATGTGATGCATAGAAATATTGCATAATGAATCACTTGGCCAATGAATCCCGCTACAGAACATACCTTTCTCTGCATGCGTTCTATTTTTTTCAAAACTATTTCTTTTTCACGTTCCATTGTTTCAATGTCTGCTCGCAGCTCTGCAGTTGAATATCCACTGTTTTTCAGGGCTTCACATTCTTTGTGCAAAGCCTTGAATTCTTCTATTAAATGTTCATACTAGAAATATGACAACATGTTTCCATAATTGTTATAATTCTCTTTCTAACTTTGTTAGAATTCTCCATTGTCATAACATTTGTAATGATGAGGAAAACAAATATACAAAAATATTTTATAGGAAATAATATATTACTAGATCAATAGGCATCGTGATCAAAGTTCACAGCAATGTACATATGTACATCTATCTTAAAAAGGAGAAAATTAAAAGACGCAAAACTGTTTAATTTTCCTCAAACAAATGTGCAAAAATATCACTATTTGACTGGTATTTACATTTTCTGAAATGCATAATTTACTAAAAAATGTTTCTTTGTCATCAAGTTTAGGGCATAGCTTAATTTAACAAATGATTTTTAAAGAAAGATTGGGTAGAGGATACAAATGCAATTAATTTTCAAAAATACTTAACATATTACTATTGTTAATTAAAATATAAAAAAAACATTAACTTCAAAAACAACAACATATTTTTAATAGAAAACTTTTAATTTTTATATTTGGAATAGTCAGAGTTTTTTCCACTTCATAATAGTTCTTTACAACTTTTTACTTCATTGAATACTTACCTGTTCATAAATTCCTGATATATCAGCATCACCAAGGAATTCAAGTGGAACTTCCACCTTTACTAGATATTGAGCTAAGTAGGCTCTCTTCTTTAGATCTGGCATATTCTGAAGTAACCATTCTAAAATTGGGTGTATAATCTGTTTTTCACCTTGGACCAACCCTTGTCGAAACGCAGATCTGGAATTAGCATGCAGTGCTTAAAATTCAACTTGACTATGAATGCACAGAATGCAACTTTGAAATTTCTTTATAGATGAGCTTACGGGGATACTTCAGGACCAGGTTTATATTTCAGGATACGCAACATCCCCAAAATACGAACAGCAGTTTGATCAGGTTCTTCAGCACGAACATCAACTTTATTGCTCTTGTCTATTTCTGCCAAAATGTCTGTTAACACCTAAAAAATGTTATTTGTGAAATAAAATCAAAAGCGCAAAACATACCACACATTTTTATATAGATATACATATATTAGAAGTTTTTAAGATGTACCTGTAATAATGATTCTGAACTTAATGAATCAAAAGAAATAATATTAACAGACTTGTTGAATGGAGGCTTGTTGAGTTCATTCACAATAAATTTCAGTCTATCACTCATGATGAATGGACTGCTGAAATAATATTAAGACATTGAAACCACCATAAAATGTACCTTAATAGTGATTGAATTTTATCAATATTAGAGAACATCAAAAATTCTGTAATTTTCTCAGCATGAATCATTGCTCTCTGACATGTAATGCACTGCATTGTATAGCTATATTAAATAGAATCATATTTCTTTTTTTGAAGAGTAAAACAACATCAAATTGTACATTTTAGTTTGCTGTAAAGCATTATAAAGTATGAAAGTAAGAAAATATGAGTAAGTTAGAAAAGAGTCAGATTTGTTTATTAAAATGTAACAACAAATTGTCGGTTTATTGTAGATTCTCTTTGCTTAATTAGAGGCGAATTGCAAAACAAACTAAGTCAATTTTTCATTTTCTGATTATCTCTGATTATACAAGATAGATACATCTAATCAGATACAAATACTTTCTAAAAAGTACTAAGTAACAAAGTTACTGAGCTGAAGATAAGTGATTTTTTCGAAGTTGAGCTTAGTTGTTTCTTCAAAGAAAAAACTTATTCTCAAGAAAAGCATTTTCAGTCTTGGTGTGCTTTGGAATTCACCTCTTCAATTACACTCAGTTCTAAAATATGAAAAAAATAAATATTCTTACAGTGAAGGCTAGATTAGATTATAAATTATCACTTGACTAAATTGCCTGATGATAAAATGATATACAATATTAGAATACAAGTAATTTGCAGTTAAAGTATATTCTATGAAATCTATAATTTTGGTTTTACCAAATAAGTGATAAATCTTTCAAATAAATGCAAGAAAGATAAATGATGAAGGTATGTTCACATTCAGTAGGGCACCAATGCTGCAATCTGTTTGTTTCATGGGTTAGTATTAAATGCAGAAAAGTAGATAACTAATTTCTCTGCTCTAATGTAATTATGTAGTAAGCAAAAATTTAAGACCTTACCTTTGCGACTAGTTTCTTAAAAAGTTTCCCACTTCCAAAAGAGGTATTGTTACTTTTTCAGTTGTAACCACCTTACGAAATTCGCCTGACACCTGCAAGAAATCAATAGTATTCTTAATGCGTACTTATACATCAATATCACTATTATCGTTAAATAAAACATGAATAAATGATAAATTTTATTTACTTTGTTTTTAACCATTAATTTTCCTGTTTTGCAAACTACGTATATTTACTCGAATTTTGAATTTGCCGTTTGAAGCGTTCAGACACGCACTTTTTTTTCGTTTCGAATTCAAATGTTACTTTGTGATAATTGCTTGAATATTGACATTGATGCAAAAAATGACTGCATCAATATGAACCACTTTTTGTATAAAATTATTCATTCGACGGAGGGAGGTTGCCGAATGTTTGTATTGTGGTTGCCATGACAACACCAATTGCATGCCAGCTTCGTGTTACGTCCTCTACACTAAGGCCAATTTGTCGGACTGACCGTCGGGACAACGAAATTGGACTGTCCGACCAACAACCCGACTTTTCAGAAATGCTCGGAATTTCGAGAAGGCAACATCTATACGAGCACGTTGCAGGGATCTATGCTGTGGGGGCTGTTTCACAATGATTTCCGACCTCGAAAACCTGGCCAAAATGAGAAAAAAAAATCCCATTTAGATATGTTAATGTTCACAATAGTTTACCCTTATAGTCATAGAGTTAAAATCCAGGCGAGGAACACATCTTTTGTATTTATCTTCAAAGTCCAGTTCGAATGCTAACCGTGTGCAATGTTCGATTACGGAAAAATACCGTCAGGTTATTAATATTTTTGACCAAGTTTTTGTACAAATATAACATGAGATTTATGATTATGAGTTTAATTATGATTTTCTTATGATATTGTATGTAATTTCTATAATTTATATATAAAAATACTTTTCTTTATGCTGCTTTCATTCTTATAATTATTGATCAAATTCGCTTACATTACCGATTTTGAAAAGAAATTTGCATTTTATATTTCATTTACTTTTCTGCCTAATTTGATCAGTAATTTTATTTCTTGAAATTTTCGTCTTCATATTCGTAATCGGTGACCTCCAAAGTAACTGAGAACTTTCTAATTAAACAACTATTTCACATTTGAACCAGGGTTTTGAGGTCTGGAATCACAGTAAGTTGGCCCAACACTTCCAAACACTACACAATTTGTCTGGCAGTATGGTGGGGGAGTCGGCAGTAGTATGGTCAGGATCAACCAATCGCCCGCCAAAAATTCTCTAGGACAAAATGCCTCTACACGATGCCATTCGTTGGAGTGACTGGCCGGTCGGCCCAACAAATTGGTATTATGTGTGTAGGGGCCTGTATTTCGAATCGAGTTTTGGCGAGAGTACAATACAGAATCGAGGATGCAAACGCTTTTGCTCTTGTATCAACATGGATTTAGATTTATTTAGTCAAAAAATAGTAAAAACTGTATGTGACGTAAGGGGGAGAATATCATCAGCGCCCTTTTTTGAGTTCCGGAATCCCTACCTAGCATTTTTGCTGTACATGGTTGATAGACGAGTAAAAGTAATAGTTGTATATAGTAGCTATACATAGTTGATAGACGAGTAAAAGTAAAAATAATAAAATTTAAAAATCCGCGAGATTAGCAACATTTGATAAACTAGACATTTCCGTTCCAAGTTATGGAAAATATATTTGCAATGGTAAACGAATGATTTTTCTGCATTGCAAACTCAATAGTACATCGCTCATACCGCTATTCCTACCACTACAAGCAGAAAGAGAGTTCAACAAAACGTGCTCATTTTAAAGCTACAGTTATGTTGAGAAGCAAAACAAGGCGCAATCTCTGCATTTGCTCAGTGGATCAGGGACTCTGGACAAAAAACCTGATCAAGATGGGGTCATTTGCCTAGAGATTATACTACAATACTTGTTACAGGTGTATTAAGATATTGCAATGTAGATAATTATTTTTAGTAGCAAGTAGTTGTACATTTAACTTACTTTAATTTAATTTAAAATATTTTAACATTCCAAGATTTGTACCATTTCATTTTTTTCAAAATAATAATAATAATAATAATAATAATAATAATAATAATAATAATAATAATAATAATAATACAACTACCACTACCACTACCACTACCACTACCACTACCACTACCACTACCACTTCCACTACCACTACCACTACCACTACCACTACCACATCAGTACATGATGACAACTATGGTAACAGCCACATATGATTTAACAGTGTTAGTATGTTCCTTGATAGTATCTTGAAATAGGGAGAAGGCAGGTTATGGGCAGATTTTTTCCTATTTCTACACCTAGTCCTACTGCAGCACCTGAAATCACATTGCATATGTTAGTCATTGAGGTTTTCCTGAATGCTATAAAAACGTTTTTCCCCAAGGAAGTGTTTGAGTTTTTTTTTGAAGTTGTACAACCCTGTCATGTTTCTCAGATGTATTGGTAATTTGTTGAAGAATTGTATACCTGAAGAGAATGTACTCTTTTGATATAATGTGGTTGATTATGCTTGCCTTGTGTTATAGGGGTGCAGACTTGAGTTAAATTTGTAAAGTGTGTTTACCAGATTTTTGGAAGACACAATTCTTCAACAAACATCATAACTTCATAAAAAAATACAAGGCAGTAGAAGTATGTTAAGTTTTTTGAAATGAGGTCTGCAGGACTCTGTTCTTTTTGTATTTGTTATTGTTTGAATGATTCGCATTTGTATTTTGAATGTTTGTATAGCCTCTAGTGCTTGGCCCCATATTATTATCCTGTATTTGAGAATAGAGTGCATGTTTGCAAAGTACACTGTTCATGCTGTCTCAATGGTGCTGTTTCTTCTTATTATTATTCTAAGAGCATAATTAAGTTTGCTCAATTTTGAATTAATGTTCTAGGTGTGAGTTCCATTTCAGGTTGGATTGTACGGTGATTCCAAAAATTTTGTTTCCTGTGCTTGTGTGATGCTGTTTCCTTCTAATGTTAAATTTGGTGAGTATTGTTGAGTTGAGTGGGTGTTGTGGAAGGGTATTGTGATTGTTTTGTTTCGGTTTAAGGTTAATTTGTTATGGTGGTGTATATTGTACTAGCTTGTCGATGGTTGAATTGGCTTTGTCTTGCAAAGCTTTGGTTGTTCTTTCTTTGAATATTATATTAGTGTCATCAGCAAAAAGTACGGTTTGTTGTTTTCCATTATTGAGAGCAGGTCAATTACAAATATAAGAAATAAAATTGGGCCTCGTGTGGATCCTTACGGAACCTCATATGTCACATCTCTTGGCTTGGAGTGATGATTATTATTTTGTTGTCTTTTTGGTAAGGTAATACTACAATTTGTTTTCTGTCTGATAGGTATGATTTTATCCTGTAAGCAATTCCTTGTATTCCATAAGATTCTAATTTTGACAATATAATTGTGTGATCTATCGTGTTAAAGACTTTTGACAGGTCGAGAAAGAGACCAAGTGGTATTTCTTCTTGCTCTAATGCCATGAGGATTTCATTTACAAATGTGAATAGAGCAGTTTCAGTTGAACAATTTTCTCTGAATCCATGTTGTGAGTCAGTGATAATGTTACAGTGTATCAAGTAGTTTTTTAATCTTTCATATAACAGTTTTTCTAATATTTTTGAAAAACCTGACAAGAGTGAAATTGGCCTATAATTCATTACATCTTGTTTGTTTCCTTTTTTGTGTATAGGTTTCATTACAGCAGTTTTAAATATGTTTGGGAAGGAGCCATGAGTTAGTGATTGGTTGTTTAAATATCTTAATGGTTTGATGATATGTGGGGTAATTTTTTTTATTAAGAAGTCTGGAATGTTGTCTATCCCAGCAGATTGTTTATTTTGCATTTATAATTTGAAGTATGTTCTTTTCTATTGTTTCTATTTATTTTTCTGGTTTACTGACTTTTCTCAAGATTCCGTTAAAAGTTTCAGAAATAAAGTGTCGAAAATGTTTGGGGAAGCGAATGATGTTGAATTTTGTGGTTTTAGTTCCTTCGTGAGATCAGTCGCAATTCTAGAGAAGTGTTGGTTGAAGAGATTTGCCACATTTTCCGGATTACCTGCTTCTCTTTCATTGTCCTTCCTAACAACATTCTCTACTAAGTATCAAAATAATGTGGTCGTATTTTTTACGAAATCGCGCGTCCATAAGTGCGTTGCCTAATTACATCAGAAGTGGAGTTGACTACTCTAGTGCAACACAACCATACACATCACACCATCACACACATTCTCGTGTTATTTAGAATGGTTTGAGAATATTATAATACTATAATTTGCGTCCTATTAATTTTTCAGTCTCGTGAAAACTTTAGCAAAAGATTGAAAGTTTAGATTAGAGATTCCCAACCTTCTTTTTCTTTTTTGCATCGACCCCTTTAAAATTGTTTGCTCCATCGAAGCTTTTACAATTTTACTTTCTGTCCCTTACTCCATACGAGAGAAAGGAATCGAGCATCGGAAAATGAATTTTCAACGGCAAAACTGTTATGGACGGGCCCTGGTAACTAAACTCATGGTGCTGCATCAACAGATACTTTCTCGCCTTATTCCTAAATTTCCAATTTTCCAAAATTCAGAGAGTTCCACGAAAATTAGCCATGCGCCATTCTTTTAAGTGTTCGTTTTTCTATCCGTGGATGAAAAAAATCGAAGAAAAGACTTGGAACAGTTTTTGAGAACGTGTATTTTAAATTGCATAACTTTTAAACACAAATCCGCATAAACTACCCCTTTTTCACAAAATTTGCACATGACTTTTAAAGAGCTGATTTTTAGAGCAGGTTTTTAAGGCAAAAATATCCTCCTTAAATTGTATAGTTTTGCAATGTTAAAAGTTTGTATGTTTCAAAAATACCGAGTTCGCCGGAAATGAGACGCACCATTTCTTTACCATCCTTTGAAACACGCGAGGAGAAAATTTAAAGAAAAAATTGGAGCCCTTTTTGAAAAAATAATTGTTTAATTTTTTTTTTAATTGCTGCAAGACGGAAGGGCAGACATGGTTTGAAGGGCAGAATCGATTTTACGGTAACAAGGCCCCACAAAACATAAATTTCGACTACATAACGAGTTTAAGATTTGAAAATTTTAAAAACGTCCCAAGGGCTTCATGTAAAGTTTGGGAAAACGTGAAAAAATGTATTTTAGGTGCCAATACATGGGAGATTAGAAGATAGTGGGGCAAAAGCGCAAAAAATCACCTGGACTGAGGAGATAAGGAAACTAACTAGTTCGATGAAAGCTGTGACAGTGCTATTCTGTAACACCACTGATACAGTTTTAGAATATGTAATATAACGAAAGTGTACTAAATGCTGCAAAAAATTGTTTCGAGTTTTTAACGAAAATACAGGTTTTTTGGGTATTTGATACCGAAAAAGAGTTCATTTATTACTGCTACGTTATTGCCTTCGATAGAGAGCTCGATATTCAATGCATAACTTACCTTTATTGAGAGGATCGTGGAGACGAGGAAAATATGAAAACAGTTGAATGTTGCTAAAAGTGCTCTTATTTTACGGAGGGAATTATCAAATGACAAACTG